GGTATGCAGGAGGCAGCCAATCAATGATTCTCTCTCATCATTGATGTTTCTCTCTCTCTCTCCCTCTCCCTTCCTCTCTGAAATCAATACAAATATATATTTTAAAATACGACAAGCATACTTTTATAAAGTTTTCCCTTACTGGACTGACATAATTTAACTATAGTTTAAACCGTACCAAATATTCTTTTAGGAACTACGTATTTGTTTCCACACTGAAGGCTAGTGATACAAAAATCAAACCGAGAGCACCAAACAGTATTCTTTTCATTTGCTCCCTTTAGTGAGAGAAGTCTCCTGGTGCCAGATCCTTCAGTTGGCCAAAAGCACTGCTTGCAGAACTTTTTCGCACTGAATGGCCAGCCAAGGGTATTCACAGAATAAAAAGTCATTGCTGGCCCTAGCTGGTTTGGCTCAGTGGATAGAGTGTCGGCCTTCGGACTGAAGGGTCCCAGGTTTGATTCCCGTCAAGGGCACATGCCTGGGTTGTGGGCTCCATCCCCAGTGGGGGGTGTGCAGGAGGCAGCCGATCAATGATTCTCTCTCATCATTAATGTTTCTATCTCTTTCTTCCTCTCCCTTCCTCTCTGAAATCAATAAAAATATATTTAAAAAATAGTTGTTGCTGAAGAGAGTTATAATAAAATATTGCCCTTTAAATATAAAATGTGTTACATGGTGATCAATCAGGAAAAATATATCACAGGTACCAATGGGATATTATGAAAAACAAAAACAAAAAACAACCCTGCATCTAAACTTAGGATGAACACTACTTTAACTTGACATACTAGGTGGTCTTGCTCCAGTATACGGAAGCATTAATTTAAAGGCAACTCTGATGAAAATTTTTGAAAAGGTATCTACTTATTTGCAAAGCATTCTGGCCCAGGGCACACTGTAAAGCAGCTTCTCCCTATACTGTCTAACAAATCCAAACCTGTCAGTACTTGGGTTTTTTTTAAAATCAGCCATCTCACTGACCGCTTATTTATTAAAATTCAAAGGGATTTGAATACGCACTAACTCTACTATTAAAACTTTCAAAGGATATGATTTAAACTTATACTGTGCTACTCTGAGGATGGGGTTCTGACAGAATTTTTTATTAATTTTTTAGTCAGAGAAAATAGGTACTAACGGAGTGGTTCTCAATCGTCTGGCCCTTTAAATACAGTTCCTCATGTTGTGACCCAACCATAAAATTATTTTTGTTGCTACTTCATAACTGTAATGTTGCTACTGTTATGAATCGTAATGTAAATATCTGATATGTAGGATGGTCTTAGGCGACCCCTGTGAAAGGGTCGTTTGACTGCCAAAGGGGTCGCGACCCACAGGTTGAGAACCGCTGTACTAATGTATTTCTCATAAATATTTAAATAGACTCAGTTAAGATACTGATAAAAATCTGGAGCCATGATTCTTATTAGGTTTTCTATTCTTTATTATCATAGTAATGTTATCACTCATAGGTATGAGGTTGGGATGCAAATGATCTTAGTTTTCTATTAGTGTCTGAAGGTCTTCCATAAAATCCACTAGGTCAGCGGTTCTCAACCTGTGGGTGGCAACCCCTTTGGGGGTCGAACGACCCTTTCACAGGGGTCACCTAAGACCATTGGAAAACACATATATAATTACATATTGTTTTTGTGATTAATCACTATGCTTTAATTATGTTCAATTTGTAACAATGAAATTGGGGGTCACCACAACATGAGGAACTGTATTAAAGGGTCGCAGCATTAGGAAGGTTGAGAACCACTGCACTAGGTAATACCAGGTAATGAAAACCAGAGATAAACCAAATATAAATATAGCTATACCAACATCACCTGTTTAATAAAAATATAAGTGTCAGAGAGTTATAAATCAAAATATGAGCTTTAATTTCCTCATCCACTTTTTAAATTATATTTTCCCTAAAAATAAAATATAAAAGCATATGAACTATAAAAATGTATTTAAAACTAAAATCCAATTCTTAAAACTGTCATTAAAATAATACAGGCTTTAAATATATTGTGCATGTAAAGTGATATATAAGTTGATATATCATAAAAAAAGCATGGAAAATAACAGAAGCAGATTGCTTCCTCCTAATCTGAGCTACTTAACCAATTCACCAGCATAATTCATCAACACAGAGAAATCTATTTAATATTATTAGGAAAACTTTAGAAAGAGAGGAAAAACATTCAGAATTCCTCTATTTTATGTTTGTAAAACATAAGACCAATAAAACTATAGTCAATTTCACAAACCGACAGGAGAAGCAGATGTAAAACTTTTTAAAAAATCACCCTAGTACGTTAGGCAAGTATATCACTGACAATATTTGCATTATTTCTATAAATGAAAAGGTAATAAGCAGCTAATTTTTGTCACAGCCAAAATTTTTGATGTGCTGCTTTGAAATATCTGTGAAATTGACAAGTTTTGCTTTGTCATTTTTAAAAAGAAATAACCACAGCAAACTAAACTTACTGATGAATTGTAAACTTTTCCATTAGAAATGTAAGCTGAGTGAAAAGGTTAAAAAGAAATAAAAATGGGGAAAAAAAAGAAAATGGGTAGGTTTACAAGTTCAAAAACAAAGGGGTTTTGGAGGCAAATAATTTAGTTACAGTCATTTGAAGTTTGCATATCAGAAGTTCTATTAAGCATATTACTTTATGGGTAGCTTTTCAGTTAACTTCTGAATCCTCATAAATTTCCCTCTCTAGTTGTTACTTTATAGGCCCTAAAAACATTTCAAAAGAGACCACTTTTTATTAAAACTTCAGTGTCACTTAGCTACATAAAATATTTTCCTCATTAACTTTAATTATGTTTTAAACTGTAGGGTAGAAAAAAGGAAATATTATTAAACTCTGTCATTTAGTAACCTAACAAACCCACAGCTCTGAACAGAATACCATAAGAGTCTTCATAAATTCTAAGATATTCACATACTTTGTAAGGCCAATGTATTTTTAATGCAAGTAGAATAAAATATGTCCTAAAATGAACAAAGTTGGCATTTCTGCTTGGAAGGCCATAGAGTTAAAGTTAAGAAAGGAATGAAAGCCAAGTATACAAAAATGGCAACAACAATCTAGAATTCTGTTAATAAAGTGTCATAAAAGCAGGACTAAGGACATTTAGGTGGCACCATTGTCTTTCCCAGAAATAACATACATACACTCGATCATTAATACCATACTATACAAAGACCCCTGGTACTAAACCATGCTCTTTACTCCACACTTGCCTTGGCCCAGGAGTTGATGAAAGCATTGCTAGGAGTAAATGACAAATTAACAAGCCAAAAGCTCCTCTAGGGCTTATGTTTGTACTCCTAGTATCTAATACAGGCAAGGAGGAAGACATAGTTATTACATCCTAAAGGCTTGGCTGAAACACAAGGGAACCTTTCTAGCATATAAGAATTGTCAGGGACTGAGTATTTTTAGAAAAGGTGAGATTCCCTTTTTAGATATTTAAGCAGTACAACTTTCTACTCTAACTTTCATATATACTCACTAACCTTTCCTATATTCTCCTCCCATCCCCTAGGTCAGCGGTCACCAACCGGTGGTCCACGGACCATCCGTGAGGTCCGAAAGGTTGGCAACCACTGCCCTAGGCAGAAGGGTGAGAACAAGTGATTGTTGAAGGATATTCCAAATTTGTGCATTCAGTACAAAAAAGGAGATGTGGTACTGTTCCCAGGAAAAAATCCTCAACAGAGTATACAAATTTCATAGCATGCACAGTTAAGCTTTGAAGGACATAAGTTGGCATATAGATTATCTAAACCCAACATATCAGGTTTACAGTAGAATTTAATCACAAACCTAACTTTTACCCTTTACATATATGGCTCTCACATTATCATTTTACTGTTGTTGTTTTTTACCCTCACCAGAGGATATGTTTACTGGATATGTTTATTGATTTAAGAGAGGAAGTGGGGAGGGAAAAAGAGGGAGGGAGGGAAAAACATTGGTGTGAGAGAGAAACATCAATAAGATGCCTTCTGTATGCACCCCGACAGAGAATCAAACCCACAACCTAGGTATGTGCCCTGACCAGGAATCGAACCTGCAACCTTTTGGTGTATGGGACAATGCTCCAACCAACTGAGCCACCCCACCAGGGCATATCATTCTATATTCCTTTCTACTCTACTTAACCCTTCTATCAGACATGGAGACCACATATGCACAGAAAGCCCTTTCATTTCATTTTATTAAATTATAACCAATTTTGAAAATCTTGAAAAGTAAAAGACTGGTTGCTGCCTTCTATACAGTGCACAGTTTAAGTCTTGTGGGACATTAAAATAACCAAAAGTGGTCAGAGCCCTCCATTTGATACAGGATTCTAACATGGCTTGACAGCTTCTGGAGAAAGGAAATGCACTATCTTTAGAGGAAACTGCATTGATTTGGGGTTTTCCCTAAATTTTAGAAAATAATTTCCAATAACTGAACCACATTTTGCTTCCTTATAATTTCCAGACACACAGGGGAAAAAAAAAAAAAGGAAAAAACAACCCATACACAATAAAGGCATTCAGAAATGTCATTGAAAGAACATTCAGCCCTAACCGGTTTGGCTCAGTGGATAGAGCGTCAGCCTGCGGACTCAAGGGTCCCAGGTTCGATTCCTGTCAAGGGCATGTACCTT